TACTTGCCCAGTCCTAGTTGCGGTTTACATCATGGCTAAATCTAATGCGTTAGTAAATTAAGCTCATTGAATGTTTTCACGCCTATATTGCAAGATTTATGCCTTTAGAATTTCCTATTTTTTTAGCTCCAACTTCTCGATATGATTTTGTAAATGTCCATCCTTCCCAAACTTCTTATTGCGTATTGTTATCTCGAAAAACCAATAAATGATGCCATTTAATCAAATTAAGGAATAATGGGTCTTTCTGGGCTTGTAGCTTGATACTCTTCTTGACAAAGTCCTCTTGTGCGGTTTGAGATTTATACAAACATGGTTTGTCGAGATAATAATGTAAAGTGTATAAAAAATGTCGAGACTTTACTTACGAACGATAAAAAGCTCGATTATCTATTAATCTGAATTGGCTAAAGAAGTCTTAAATTTATAGTGTAATTGGGCACAATCAAGTCTTATCTTATCCTGCCTAACCTTTTCTCTCGTAATACTGGCCAAAACACCACTTCCGAACAGCCTAGGACAAAGAACAGCAGGAAGAGACTGGACTCAATCCTTGAGCTGATGAGGAGTAGTGGATTTTGAGACCGTCATTTGTGGGGCTTTGCTTTATAAATATTAGATATCAGTGAATATAGTTAAACTATGGTGTTTTTCGCCTTTCCCTTAGCTCGTTAGCAAAGCAAAAACTGATTTTGCATCCCTAGTTGGCGAGATCCATATCTCAGGATAGAAAAACCTGGCCTTAACAGGGAAATTTTAGCCTCTTATGTTCAGCTGGAAGAGATAAATCGTAAATAGAGCAACAAAATGTATCCTTTGACGCTAAAAGCCATCACAACAAATTTAATCTACTCCAATCCAACAGTATGAAATAGGAAATTATCACTGCAAGCAATTTCTGCTGAAAATCACCAAAACTTCCCCTAATTTGGCAAGAAACAACTATTCTTGTCCTGGCTATTTTGATGAGGGTGGTTCAGTGCTACATAAAGCTTGTCCTTGTTTGTCCAACCATATTCTCTCCTTGACTGATATCTTAGATGTGTTAATCTTATTTCGTTTAAGGTAATTAAAGGCTGGTAATTAAATTTTCTTAAAATGATATGAATAAACCTTAAATTTCATTGAAATTTGCATAGCCTTTCTCACAATAAGGTATTCCCATCTAGGTTGAACCCCAGTTTCGACTTTGCCTTGGTGTCATTAGCATCTCTAACGGGACTCGAACCATTTCGATTGAGGAATCCGATCTAGCAATAGTTTAGAAGACCTACTTAAAACGAAAAATAAGTAATGTTGTCGATTGCAATAGCAAATATAAGTCTGCTTAATCGAAAATCCCACCAAAGAATGTGGTATGAGAAAATGCCTGGACCCACTTGAAATGAACATTTGCCCTGTTCACCAAGAACCCTCGTGACATTGTGGCATAGTGGCTAATGTTTCGCGATTATACGCTGCAGTGTCATATTTGGATAAAACATGATGTTCCGCTTGCTAGAATGCTTCGGAATAAAAATGTGAGGGAAGATGTACTCCTCGTCCTCATAAAAATACGTCTCTCTTTTGCTCATGAAATAACCTCAGGAAGATGCTTATTCAACACATGTTGCAGCATGCATTCAAAGTGGCAGAGAATGCTTCTTTTACTCACCTGATGCAAGCCCATTAGTCGACCCAACTGCTGCATTCGCATTACGAATTCGGAGAGTTCAACAATACAAACATCCTTCGCCTTACGGTCAATTCCTAACTTCAGGTATTCGAAGACTGACGTGATCCTCTGCTTATCCAGTGCACCCCTACGATTGATAAGATCCAGTTGCTCCCAACGCTGTCTCATTAAGGCTGGCACTTTGCAAGTTTTGTAACCGGAGAAGATTTTGGACAACAGTACCTTAGGCAGCTGTGAGATCAAGTGATAACACACTTGAGGTAAGGTAGTGTTCGGAATTTTTTGTAATTCATCCAGGTTGACACCCGCTTCTGTGAACCCTGATTGCAGAATTTGTGTTAGGCGGTCATCATCCATATTTGCTGTTTCTATTCTGGCAGAATATATAAAGAGGGTTGGAGGAAATAAATTTAGAGTTATAGAAGAACAAATCAGTCCTTAGAAATCTGAGCGCAATTGCTGAAACTCAAATAGCTCATTTTTCTTCAACTGAGAGACACCTTCTTTGAATATTATGAGCCCATATTTTGCATAATTTAACTTAGAAATTTGCTAATTTGTGTTAAAATGCAACCAATTTTACTCTTTGAGCGACATAAAGCGCTTCTTTTCGGAGTTTTGATCTCAGAATTTAGCAGTGAAAAGGGTGAATCCGTTGTACGGAGTCATCACCATGGAGATACATAAAAAACACAGCGATTTTTTAATTGTTTCTAAGGCTCAGAAGCATTTTGTGTATAAATTTCAAATCGAATAAATCAGCCAGATTACTAGACTCTTTAGTTCCCGAGTAACTGTTCCTCCATTCCTTTACACTTCTTGCGATATAGACACTGATGAATATTATGTCTAGAAGTTGCGTTTCGCGCGGAACTCAAACACAATCAAGGGGATTTAAAGAAAAGGGCTATTCTTTAAAACAAAATAGACAAAAAGTTACATGTTACCGGTTCATTAGTCAGCCAATCAGTGAAAACGATAGGTTCTGAGTATAGTACGGTGGCCCCAAAAATGCCACTTTTATTTGAGCCTTGGATTTTCTCCTCTTTTGAGGGAGAGAGGAATTCTCTCCTGTCCTTTTTTTTCCTATACAATTTGTCAAATTAAGAACTTCAGAGGACTGTTGGCCTAGGCAATATTGATCTATTTTTGGTGAAACGGTGTTGTCCTCTACAGAGTTAGCAAATCTTGCCCTGAAGGCCAAAGTGTATCCTACTCAGGATGCATTTCCATCTAGTTTGATAAATGCTAAATTCTGAATTTGGTCAATTTATGTTTTTGTTGATATTAACTTTACAACATGAAGT